ACACTGCACTGTGTCATTGTACTCGGCTGTGTGTGTGAGAGACAGTGAAACAAGAGAAGAGGGAGACGGGCAATCAGATAGAGGGGTTGTCGGGATGTGTGTATCACTTGTATCTTGGCTGTGTGTGTGTCTGAGTTGATTGTATCTAGTGTGTTTCTCACCATCGCAGCCGCATTGATCGCTGGGGTAACACCAAACATGATATTAATGACGATAAAGTTTCCTGTAGGCGGGGAAGCCCTGTGTATCTCCGTCTGACTCGTTTCACTAAGCCTTTGATGTCCTGATCAAACGTTGTACCCGTGCCAAACGTATTTCTCCAGTCTCCGTCGATTTTGGCTTGTTTTTGGTTGAGAAACGGCGTGTAAGGCAAGCAGCAAGACCCAGAATGCACCCTGCCAAACCGCCAGATGCTTTGATCCAAGATGGCCCCCAGAGAGCCAGCATGGATCCACAGCTTCTCAGAGCCAAGGCTGGATTCACAGACACAGTGTCAGCATGCCAGGGACATTTACACCGTCTTCATACAACACCACGCTCACAACAGCTTTCCCTCTGTTGTTGTCACTCCTAACATATGCCATTTTGTGGGCGCACTCAATACAGTACAACAAGGGGATACATTTTGGGGAAAAAAAGGTTATCCTACTTGGAATCAAACCTAGAGCCGTAATTTGTGAGTACAGCTCTAATTTAAGGGTATATAAAACTGTAACAGCAGTTCCTTTTAACTGTTATTTTATTTGATGTACTATGTACCTACAATAACAATGCAGTTAAGCTGATGAACTGATTTCATTGTGTTAACATTGCTGCTAAAAATAACTATTTCTCAAACGATTGTGGATTTCTTCAGAAACAAAACAAGATAACGATATATTCGACTAATCTTTTAAACAATTTATCAGAAAATATGTCAAACGTTTTCCGGTTCCAGCTTCAAAAATCCTTCTCAAAGGACTTTCTTCTTGTAATATATTGTATATTTAAGGGTTTGGATAATAAAAAGCTATTTAAAGATGCGCCCATGTGTTATTTTGACATTTTACAGACTAAATGAAAGACAAAGAAGCAACAAATCAAGTTAGGTTCTCAATGTTATTACAAAACACACCAGGTACTTCCTTTTTTACTCTACCAATAGGTCTTTAATGCCACTGCCCTTAAGTTCTCCAATGTCATGTAAAATGTGTCTTATATTTGGAGTTTTTTTATAACAAAAACAGTAAATATGAGTCGATTTAGTCTGAAAACCAGCATCCCTCCTCTGTCTCTCTCTGAGGGTCAGGTAGTCTCTGGAGGTCAGAGGTCATCTCTGGAGAGACTGAGCAGCTGTCGATCGTCCTCCATCCCCTCCTCTCTCTCTTGGCTTTGAAACCGCTCACCTGCTCGCCCTTATTCCCTCTGTCTCTCCCTCCCTTCCACTCTGTCCCTCTCTCCCTCCTATCCTACCTTTCCTGTGACCTCCCTGTCTTTCCCTCTCCTTTCCTTCCTCCCTCCTCCTCCCCTCCCTCCTTTCATGAGATGCGGCTGGTGGTTGGCTGCTAGCTGCTGGCTGGCTAGCGGTGGGGGATATAGCTTTATAATCCCCCTCGTCTTCCAGCCCGCCTCGCCACAATGTCACAGGAGCTTAATATTTGCCATTATTATTTGCTTGTTTTATTTGACTTGGAGGCAGCACAATGACCTGTCAGCGCCGCTTTATCCCCCCTCCGAGTGTCGTCCGTTTCAAAGTTGACTACTGTAATCCACGAGCCCCCGATTCCGCTAAATCCTGAAGCTTTCTTTCATTCGCTCATTTTTCCTCTCTTTCCCTCCCTCCCCGCTCCACCCTCCTAAATGAAATTACATACATCTGCTGGCTCAGAGTATCACGAATGTCCACACACTCACCAGTGTCCGCGCACACACACACCACACGCCTGCCTTTTGTCGTCCCAACACTGTGTGTGTGTGTGTGTGTGTGTGTGTGTGTGTGTGTGTGTGTGTGTGTGTGTGTGTGTGGTGTGTGTGTGTGTGGTGTGTGTGTGTGTGTGTGTGTGTGTGTGTGTGTGTGTGTGTGTGTGTGTGTGTGTGTGTGTGTGTGTGTGTGTATGTGTGTGTGTGTGTGTGTGTGTGTGTGTGTGTGTGTTGTGTGTGTGTGTGTGATATCCTCCTGTCCTGAGCAGCTGAATCCATCATTTTTGCACAGATTGTGATCGTATTCCGGTGCCCATAACGCACCAACATGTTGTTTTTAAGCTTATACTCTTGCAATAAAAGCGTGAGAATAATAAGCTTCAAACTCCACATGGCTCTCTTTAAATCTGTCATAAATAATACGTGCATAAGACACATATTAGAGAAAATAAATTGAAGAAATTATCTCAGCGATCCTTCCTGTATAAAACATCAGAACTTGGCATGTTCTTCTGCTATTATACTGTCCACTAAAGCCTGTCTTGTCATTCAGAGGACCCCCAATTAATAAATAAGTGGTATGAAATGTCTTCTTAGTGTTAATTCTGTTATGATGCCTGTCGTGGCTTTCCAGCTATTAAACCTTCCTCTTGAGAGCGGGAGAAAATAAAAAAAACCAGCGAGAGATAATAACATAAGCCTTAAGACGATCTTTCATCTGGCGTCCTCTGTTTTCATCCATTTCTTCTCTTCACAGACGCGCTGAGTGTCAGATTAATGCGGCTGTCGCTGCTTAAATGGCCTCCAGTGCCACAAAGCTCATATCCCAATTCCAGACATAAACAGTGCTAAGTGAACTGACCGCAGCCGCGTTTATTTACACACACAGAGAGAAAGAGACATCGAAATGCTAAAAACAAACAATTTACAACAATGAGCGTTAACACACATTGAACCTAAAACACTGACATATGTCTACATCTGGTAACAGGTATTTACTCTGCTGTACATCCTGTAAATCTAATATATTGTGCATTAATGAGGAAGGACTTTTATAGAACAGTTTTATATTTTGATTTGAGAATTCTAATTAATATGTTATACAAATTCTTCATCGCATGACGTAAAGTTATGACGACACATTTCTCTGTACAAGCTCGCCAAAATGGCTTCACCGGTCTGGCAGTATTTTAAGGTGTCCGAAAATGACAGTAAAATAGCGGTATGCAACGTGTGTGAAGCAGAAATCCTGCAGCTCCACCCGCTGTGAGCAAAACACACACTAAGAGTTAGACCTAACACACTTAGCTATTTTATCTACCTCTGGAACTAGCTAAACTAGTTATACATATGTTTATTCTTCACTGTCGGGTCACTCATTACTGGTTCAGTGAGCTGCATGAGATACTGACAGGCTGTCAGGGGAGAGAGGGAGAGAGAGAGGAACAGAGAGCGCTTCCGCTCCCGTGTTATTCTCCAAAGTGAATGTAAACTTGAATAATGTACTTAATTTGAATGTAATAATTATGTTGGTTGTTTGTGTCCAGTGAACGAGCATTAACTGAGTTTTAAACATCACTTTAAATAGAAGATCCCCATAGGCCCCGCCCACTCGATTGGATCGGCGATCGGTATGGGCCGATACTGATTCCGGCGATCGGCCCAAAAATTGCCGATCGGAGCATCCCTAATATTAATACATGTGAACACTTGATCCTGTTGCTTTTACGAGATAAATTAGATAACAATTCATAATCCGTATCCTATTGATTGATTGATATATGTAATAAAACATTTGGGTTTGTGATGGGCCTATTTTAATGCTGTTACCACCATAACTGATGTTTAAAATACATTTAAAACCACCAGGCACATCTCAATAACTTAGAAGTAGTTGTGGTCTAGTCCTTGCATTTAAAGAAATTGAAAAAAGACGAATGAAAAACTGTTTTAATATAGTTTGGACTTTAATTCACTTTTTAAATCCTTATAAACGTCTGATTTAAGTCCTCTGCTGCAGCCGACAGACGCCTCATTGATGTCCGGTTTTAGCTCCAGGTGAAACATGACCCATGGAGACTTTATTGTGTTGTTGTTCACATTTAAAGGTTTCCTCTCAATGCACTTTGTCCATATCAGTTCTTTGCATCCCATTGTACGCTGTGAGTGAGTTACAACACAGAGCTTTAGCCCCAGGCGTGGGCTAGGCTTACATTAGCCATGCATCTGAGCTGTGTGTGGAACAGGTATTACACTAAGAGTCGGAGAGTTGCAGAGACGTGTTTTCTGAGGCCCGCTGAGTGATTGCTGGGATATGTATTGCCCTACAGTGAGAGGCTCCACTCTGTAAAGGCGCTCGACGGTAATCGCTGAGTTAATCCTGCCCGGTTGAAGCTGTATTGACGTTGTGAAGACATGGTGTGAAGTATATGTGAATGTTTACACAAGGACCATAAGCGAGAAGTGTATTTACACACACACACACACACACACACACACACACACACACACACATAAATAACTGGTGGACATAGTGACTCTGCAGTGAGTCGTTTATCTGCATCATCTCTTTCCTGTATGTGTATGGGTTCGCATTAATGTTGTGTCTTAAAGGGACATATAATAACAGGAGATGACCATCCATCTATCAGATAGGACTGCCACTAATAGACTGATCTGCTGGTAAATGTCAGAAATGAATGAAAAATGTCCATCCCAGTTTCACACATTTCAGTGGATGTCTTTTAACGTCTGTCGCAAATCGACAATATTCACTTTAATATGATATAAAACAGTACAAAGCAGGAAATCTCCACATTTAAGAGGCTAAATCCAGCCTTTTTCTACCATCTTTGCATGAAATTCTCTTAATAGTTGATTATCAAAACAGTTATTTTACCGTTCATGGACGACTCGCTGCAGCTCTACTATCAGACAGACTCCCTCTCTGTAACTGGATGTTGTTGTACTCTATTTTAGCTTGATCTTTTAGCACCTCGCTTTATGGCTTCAACAGGGTGCAAGGAGGAATAAATATGAACAGCTTATAGAAATGTAGTACCGTTTGGTAACCCTGCTTGTTTTTCTGTGTTTGTTTACAGGCAACAAACAAGAGGAGGAGGAGGCCATGATGCAGGAGTGGTTCATGTTGGTCAACAAGAAGAACGCCCTGATCCGACGCCAGAACCAGCTCTCTCTGCTGTACGTATCTCTGACACTCACACATTATACCCACAATGCTTTGTTTTCAACTAGACCAGGGGTGTCCAAACTTTTTTCACCGAGGGCCACATACAGAAAAATATACGAAGGGCCAATCAGATGTAGGTAAATGAGGCTTGTGAGTGTTGGAAGCTCGTGCCTTAACCCTGTATAGCAGTGGTTCTCAAATGGGGGTACGCGGACCCCTAGGGGTACGTTGGAGTACTGCAGGGGGTACGTGAGATTTATTTTATGTTAATGAAAAAAACAACATAAGTAATGCATTTAAACAAACTACTAATAGTAGATGAACTACTTTCTTCAAAAGTTTACATTAATTCTGGATAATAAAATGGGAATAATAAACGGGGTGCTCTCTTTTCCTCTCCCTCTCCTGACAGCCCGTCAGTCTCGTGCAGCTCGCTGAACCTGTACTAAGTGACCGACAGTAAAGAATACACATATTTATAACTAGTTTAGCTAGTTCCAGAGTAGATAAACTAGCTAAGTGTGTTAGGTCTAACTCTTAGTGTTTTTAATTTTGCTCCACTCAACGGTCAGCGGCGGAGCTGTGATCATGCAGAGCTGCGTGTTCTCCGTCAGCAGCAGCTGATCTGATCTCTGATCCCTCTCTCGCGTCCGGTTAGACTTCACTCGCGTTTATGTCCAAATCTATCAGATCTAGTTCTAGCTAATGATATGACTGCCTGCTTATCAAAGGACACCTAAACAATAAGTGTTGCTTGGCAACGGCGTGTGGCCGCAAAGTATAGCGCAGCATTATGCATATGTTTATATGAGGGGTCAAAATCCCATGCTCATAAAATGCTCATATATTGTTTTCTCTTCATTCCCCACGCCCCAAAATAAATAAATATTCCAATTTTAGGAAAAGTAAGGAAGTTTGAGCAGTGTGGGTTTTATATTAACAAAGTTACACATATTTCAAAACGCGAAGTGTAATAACTGCAGGTGCCTCCCTGTCAGAATGACAAAGTTCCTCAGTGAAGCACGAGCCCATGTTTCTCACTACATTGTACAACTTATTAAAAAGATCAGTTCAATGCAACTAATGTCGTCTTAGTGTTATTGCATGATGTTAAAATTGGTTTGCCATGAATTTAGTGATGGATTGTAAACAATTTAAATGTAGCTTTAAGTGTTTCTCAGTTACAAGGTTGTTGTTTTAATAAATCAGACACTGATGGTACAGCACTGTACTGTATCTCTTTATATAGGCTTTTTTTCCTTAACAAATTGTTTTTGCGCTGATCAGGGGGTGCGTGGCTGCATTTTCTTTTCAAAGGGGGTACATGAGTGAAAAAAGTTTGAGAACCACTGGCTTCGATGCACGAGTGACTGGACCCTACACTCTTCCATAAGTGGGTCAAAAAGGACCGGTATTAGAATAATGTTATGCCATTTGTGTAATTTTGGTTAAGAAACATCACTTGTATAATATTAAGTATTATATTTTGGTTCATACTAGAAATATTTTATATTTAATTTTTCACTATTTATAATTTTAGACATTTTTTTTACATTTTGAAAAAACCCGTTTTGAACATATCGATGCAAAGATCTCCGTTATTCTGAGACCCTCACAGTATTCCAGTCCCTTTTCAAAACTCATCTCTTCTCCTCTTGTCTACTCATAGAGGTGTCACTTATGATGTAGTCTGTGTGGTCCACAGTGAATGTATTCCTGACAGAAACAGGTGACAAGAATCAAAGGTTCCCATAGGATCCCATAGAAAATGCATGCGGGTCATTTTTGACCCACTTATTGAAGCTGGGGTAGAAATACAAAAACTACAATTTCTTAAAATGTATAACATTTGAATGGCATGATATCCAAAACATGTTTTTTCAGGAATAGCTGGAATATGAAATGATGAAGAAAAAAAAATTACAAAGATACTTCAAGAAAACCACCAAAAAAGACCCACTTATGCATCTAAGGGTTAAAACAGAAGCCTCAGATTGATTATAATAAGGAGAAATAGGAAGGGTGTCTTTCAAGCTTGTTATGTAAATAAGTCATTGGGCTTTTTTCTTATCAACTTAGATATGTTGGAACATGTTAACAACTTTACTTGACTGAATTTATTTGAAAAGTAGTCTTATTATTAACACATGAAATAATGTGTAATATATGTTTACATTTGTATTTAAGTAGTACAATATAAGACAAGCACAAGTTTCATTTTGTGGGCCATATTCCATTATACTTTTTGAATTTGTCGAGGGCCGATTCAAAATGATCCGCGGGCCGCATTTGGCCCCCGGGCCGTAGTTTGGACACCCTTGAACTTATTTTTTTATATATCTTTTCAAGAAGCATTACGAACCTGGAAATATCGCACTTCCATTCAAGCATTACATGAAACTCGTTGAAGC